TGGATAGGATAGGAATATATCGTTAATGATGATACTGAATATTTAATCTTAGTTCAGCTTTTAAGAATAAAAATTGTCTCCCATTTCTCGAACAAAAGGTGACCGAAGGATTAGATAAAAAAATTTCGTGAACGAGGAGATAGATTTCTAATATTTCAAAAAATCAGTTTTATTTGTAGAATACCCATTGTTTACTTTTCTTTCTACAACTAACTCTTATGGATTCCATTTCTTGCAATATTTTTCTACTTTCGATTGATGAATTTAGAAAAATAAATATTGAATTAGACATCGCGTTCCAAGGAAGAAATGATAATTTAGATGCTAGTTATCAATCTTAGAAGAAAATAATCCATCAGTTTCACTATGGCTGGAGTATAAATAAGATTTATGGCAAGATATATGTTAAATCTCTAATCCGACACGTTGATAAATGGTAACTTACCGAAAAATGAATTATTTTGAATAGAAGTAAGAATAATATTAATTCATTCAAGATATGGGGAACTTTCAAAGTATAATATATAATCCAAAAATAATTAAACGATGTGATTGCGCCATATGTATAATAATTAAGAATAATAAAATATTGGTGTCAAGGCGCTTATCCAACGTTGAATGGTATCCAAATCATATGCAAACTCCCGGCGGAAAATTGGAATTATTAAAAACTTTTTCCGGGAATGAAGTCTGGGAATCCCCAGAAGTTTGCGCTCTCCGAGAGCTTTATGAAGAAACGGGCATCTGTGGAGAAATTATTAATAAAATTGATGCATTTCCTCCAAATAATCCAGGACGATTCGGTACTGTACATGTTTATTTAGTCAGAATTGTCTCCTCTCCAACTCCATTACATTATGAATATGAAAAAAATACACATTGGATATTTCAAGATATAGATTCTCTTAAAAAAGAAAATAATATTTCCCCCGCATTGAAAAAATATTTACAAAAATATTGGTCTGATGAAAAATAAGTTCTAATTATCTATGAATCGAGATAATAACGCATTTTCTCGCGGCTAGTACTATCTGGTCCAGGATAGAATTCTTTTTATGTATTAGAGTAGACATATTCTTGAATTTCTGAAGACCGGATTCTAGCATTCTTTTCTAATTTTATATAAAATATTTGCCGTTATCAGTCTATTTAGTTCCATATGTTAAATCTAACATCTAGATATCGAAGGTATCGTGAAGATTGAATACTAATTATTTCATTGGGCCATACGCTGATCTATCAATCATTCGTTAGGAAAGAGCTCTTTTTTTTCCTATTCGAGAAATTGGATCACAATTTAAGTTTTAATACCATTATAGTTGGTATGAATCAAAGGATCATTTAGCTATGGTCGCAAGTAATCAAGGTGACAACCGGGAATGGTAGTCTCCTTGTCATATCTGAAAATTGGATATTAGGCCAAGATTAGTCTAGATTTAGAAATTTTTGCTAGATAAAAAGATGCCTTCCTAATTATGAGTCGGCTAATATTAACTATAGATGATCATCATTCACATTTATATTGTAAAACATGCAAAAAAGTAGCGAATGGAATATATAGGCGATGCGAATGTGATAATTTTTTAAGGGAAGAAGCGATAAGTGAAAGCTTCACTATGTCATAATAGTTTCAAGTTCCTAACTCATCTA